TCAAAATGGGTTTCATGATTTAGATATAAAGGCTGGCACTATAAGCGAACTGGGAGAGCAAGGAATAGTTTACTTATCAGGTTTATGGAGAACAGAAGAATCCATGACCAAACAGGAGATAGAGAACATTATGAAATGCAAAATGTATCATTTTGATTACATTAAATTGAGAAGTTTTTGCACAAAGTCAATGCAACCAAGATTAGGAGGGAAGCAGAAAACTGAGAAGGGAATTTTTACAACCAGTGTCTCTGATAAGGGCTTCATTTCTAAAATATACAGAGAACTAAGTCAAATTTATAAGAATACAAGTCATTCCCCGATTGATAAATGGTCAAAGGATTTGAACAGACAGTTTTCAGATGAAATTAAAGCCATCTACTGTCATGAAAAAAATGCTCTAAATCACTATTGATTAGGGAAATGCAAATCAAAACAACTCTGAGGTACCACATCACACCTATCAGATTGGCCAACAAGACAAAACAGGAAAATGATAAATGTTGGAGAAGATGTGGGAAAATTGGAACACTAATGCATTGTTGGTGGAGTTATGAAATGATCCAACCATTCTGGAGAGCAATTTGGAACTGTGCCCAAAGGGCTATAAAAATGTGCATACCCTTTGACCCAGCAATAGCACTTCTGGGGCTGTATCCCAAAGAGATCATACAAATGGGAAAAGGACCTACATCTACAAAAATATTTATAGTAGCTCTTTTTGTGGTGGCCAAGAATTGGAAATTGAAGGAATGCCCATCAACAGGGGAATGGCTGAACAAGTTGTGGTATAAGAATGTAATGGAATACTACTGTGCTATAGGAAATGATGAGAAGGCAGACTTCAGAAAAACCTGGTAAGACTTGTATGGACTGATGCTGAGTGAAGTGAGCAGAACCAGGAGAACATGGTACACAGTAACAGCCACGTTGTATGATGACTAACTTTGATAGACTCAGCCCTTCTCAACAGTGCAAGGACCTAAGACATCTCCAAAGGTCTCATGATGGAAAATGCTATCCACACCCAGAGAAAGAACTATGGAGTCTGAATGCAGATCGAAGCAGACTATTTGCTTTTTTTTTTCTTCTGTTTTGTTTTGTTCCCTCTTTCTTGTAATTCCTTCTACTGGTTCTAATTCTTCCTTACAACATGACTAACGTGAAAATATGTTTAATGGGAATGTACATGTAGAGCCTATATCAGATTATGCACCATCTTGTGTAGGGAGGTGGAGAGGGAGAGGGAGAAAAATTTAAAACTCAAAAACTTATGGAAGTAATTGTTGATAAATTAAAATAAATTAATAAAAAATAAAAAAAGGAAAGTGCCATGGAGGAAACTAAGGCAGAGAGAGGGGTGCAGGGATTTTCTTCTGGCTCTAGGAGTTTTTTTTTTCCTTTTAGGGTCTGGAATTATAGGACAAGACCCTCAGATCACTATCTGTCCCAGCCTGCATTCCCAGGGGATCTGGGGTAGATATGCAGGGGAATCTTAGATCCTTTAGCTCATGATCAGACTCTGGTCTTCTTGCTCCTCAGTTCTTTCTTGTCCTCTTTGCTTCTAGCCCTCCCAGTCCTTCTGAGGCTAGCTCAGTGCTTCCCTACCTTCCCAGGAAGTCCTCCCTGCCTGCTTTGGCACCCTGTGTGACTACTTAGGGTCATGGAATGATTCCAATTTCTCCTTCTTTCGAGTTTTACAAAATATTTTCTTCACAAGTAATAACCATCCTAGGATTGGTGGGAGAGGGAGCAGGGGTTAATCATTCCCATTATGTAGATGATGAAGAGGAAGCCAGAGAGGGCAAGTTGGCAGAGTGAGGCTTCCTGGTCTTAAACCCATGACACTCTTAGAGATCACCTAGTGCAATACCCCATGGTAGAGAGCAGAAAACTAAGACCTAGAAGGCAAGTATTTCTCAAGGCCACATAAAATCAGATCCTTTGGAGTCCTAGTCCCTAGTCCCATTTTGGGGAGGACAATCGAGATTAATTGACTTGCCCAGGGTCACACAGTTAATAAGTGTCTGAGGCCAAATTTGAGCTCAGGTCCTCCTGACTCCAGGGCTGGTGCTCCATCCATTGCAGCACCACCTAGCTGCCCCCCACCCTAGTCCCATTCTATCTTACTATCCCTCTCAGCCATCCTCACCACTCTGAGCCAAACTGGTGCTCCCTTGTCCCACCCCTTCCAGCAAGCCCTCTCTGATCTCCCATTTTCTCTGTGTATCTGTCTTTTTATCTCTTTCTGTCTTTCTGTTGCAGTGTCTCACTGTCTTTGTATCTTCCTGTCTCTATCTCTGTGCCTGTCTCTACCACCATCCCTGTTTCTGGCTCTGTCTATCTCTATCTCTTTGAGTCTTCCTCTCTCTCTTCCCCACCTCCCCTACAGGCTAGCTCCAGAATTACCTTCATCTGAAAGACCTTCCTGGCCCTAACCCTCACTCCCCATACTCAGCTGGCATCTACGCCTGGTAGAGGAGGCCCTCAGATGCATGTTTGAGAAGTCAAGCATGTCATTCTCTTCTCCCTTCCTTTCTACTTGCCCCCTTTCTGTTACCCTTAACTCCACCATTCCCTCCTCCTGCCTTTTTAAAGCTTCCTTTGCTCACCCAAGATCTATGTGCCTTCCTCTCCCATCTTTGTCTGTCTCTTGATCTGCCTCTAGGGCCCTCAGATGGTTTCATGGGTGGGGGGGAGAGGTTAATTCCCCTCAAGAGGCTATTCAGGAAGAGAAGATAAAGCCCTCAGAGGCAGGAGACAGATTGGGCACCACCTTTCCTCTGATCCCCCCCTCCCATTCCACTTCCTCTCCTGCCCCCTCCCACCTCCAGTACAGGAAGGCTTCAGGAATTCCGAGCCTAGGAGGAAGGGGAGTCTCTTCCTCCCCCACCTTTTTCCCTTACAGTGTTTGAACTTTCCAACTTTAACCCCTTCCTGATACTCCCCCACCCCAATCCCAGACCCTTTAGCCTATGCAGGCGCATTTCCTTCTCTAGGCTCAGACACCACCCAAACACTAGGAATTAGGCTCCCCCGCTCCCTCTTCCAACCCGTGTGGCTGAGTCTGGCTTTGGATGTGGAGGCTGATGGGGAGAAGGCTTTCCCACTTCTAGGAGGATCCTACCGACACACTGTGTTAGAGAGAGGCCTTGAATGGGGAGCTGGGCTTCTGAAAAATGACCATAGCATCCTAATCTTAGGCTGCCAAATTGGGTGAAACTTGAAGAGTCTAGATTCTTGGTGTCAGAGAACCTTAGTACTTTAAATTGTAGAATTCTAGAACCTTAAAAGTTACAAACTGGAGATCAGAGGTTCTTAACCCAGGATCTGTGGAATTTTTTTTTCAAAATCTATTTTGGCAATTGTATTTCATATACTTTGGATCCTTTTTAATCCTTGGGATTTAACTTTATGCATTTAACAACATGATTCTGAGAAGGGGTTTATAGACTTCCCCAGACTGACTTAGTTGCCCAAAGGGTCCCTGAACCCCAAAAGTTAAGAGCTCCTGCTCTAGGCTCTAGGGCCAAGAACTGAAGAGCCCCTCACCAAATCAAGGGATGGGAAGGGAAGCTATATTGCAAAGAAGAGAACCTAAATGAGGGGTGGGAAAATGGGGGGCAAGGGGTTAAGCCTCAGCTTGATTCCTGCCCCTTTCCTTCCCTGCTGGGGGCTATAATTTGGTCGGGGTGTCTAGACAGCTAATAACTTGGCTGGTGTGACTGGGACAGAAACAGGGAATGGAAAGGGGGGAGGAGGAGGAGGAGGAGAAAAGGTGTTGCTCTCTGGGGGAGGGCTGGGGGCTGCTCCCAGGGCACTCCCACCTGGGAGGACCTGACAAGGGGTTGGGGAGAAGAAGCCACTTTCCATGGCTGTAAGCTGAGTTCCCTTCTTCCCCCACCGCACTTTGCTCCCCATCACTATAACCCAGTGATTTCTGACTGTATCTCTGTCTGTCTCTGTCTCTGTCTGTCTGTCTGTCTGTCTGTCTGTCTCTCTCTGTCTTGGTCCCCTTTTCTGACAGTCTCATTTTATCTTTCTATTTCTCTTTCCTTCCTCTTTTCTCTCTTGCCACTGTTTCTCTCCATCTGGGGTGGGGGCTCCAAGGCTTTGAGCCAGTCCAGTAGTTGCCGGCGCCGTGGAAGGCTGGGGGATTGGGGGGAGGAGGGTCAGGTTTCTGGCCGTCCTGGACACCAGGTGGGGAGCGAGGCCCGGCCGGCGTGATCACATTTCAGCCTCTAATGGGCAGCCAGCGGGAGCAGGAGCCGGCAGGCGGTCCCCGGGGGAGCCGGGTTAGAGGGGCTGAGGGGTGGGGGTGGGGGCGGATGTGAGGGGGACACAGAGACCGACTGAGAAGCAGGCGGCCACGCGAGGGGGGACGGCGGAGCTGGTGAGCAAGCCGGGGGGGTCCATGAGGGAGGGGAGCCCCTTTTTTGCTCTAGCCCCTCATCCCCTCCTTCCCCCATCCTCTTGCTTTATCTCTGCCTCTCCTTGCCGCTGTCTCTGAGTCACCCTACCCCTCCTCATTGTCGCTTTAACTCTATCTTTATCTCTGTGTGTCTGTCTCCCCCCACTTTCTCCTCCTCCCTGACCCCTCTTCCCACCCTCTGCCCGAAGTTCCACTTCCTACCTCTCTCTTTCTGTCTTGCTAGCTCTTTGACTCAGGATGAAGGGGAAGAGAGATAGAAGACGCCAGTTTTCCTCTTCCCACCTCATTCCCTCCCCCCCTTTGCTTCTTTCCCAAACTGGGGCTGGAACGAGGGTGACATGCTGGACATGAACAGAAAGAGATGTGGAGGGACAGTTAGAGACAGAGACAAACATACAGAGAAAGACGGAAGCCTATGAAAGATGAGTGAGAGACAGAGGCAGAGGAAGATCACTATAAACTGAAGGATTCTGAAGCTCCTTTCCTCCGTCTACCTCTCCTTCCCAGAACGCTTTTCTTCCTAGACCTCCTTACAAGCAGGTGAGAGTAGGACAGAGAGGTCAGAGGTTGGAGGTTGGAGGTTGGGAGTTGGGGGTTGAGTTCAGAAGCCCATTCTCTAGAGCTCCCGAAGTTTCTGGGAAGAAAGGAGGGTGACAACACTAAGATGCATACATGGAGGCAGTGGTGGTGGTCCAGAGGGGTAACCAGGCAGCAAAAGAGGGAGAGCAGACTGTATGATGAAGTATGTGGGCTGTGTAGATAGTAGGAAAAATCCTGAGCATTCAGACACATGGGTTCTAGTCCCACCAATTCTGTAACCCTGGGCAAAGTCAGTTCCTTATCTGTCAAATTAGGAGATGGGACATTCAGCTCTGACATTGTGTTTTCTGGACCTTTCCAGTTTTGACATTCTTTATTCAATGATGCTTTTCAGCTCCAATAGTTTATGTTCTCATAGTTCTATTCTAAAGTCCTTCCTTGTTCTCACAGTCTATGTATGTTCTAATATTCTGTGTTATAAGAATATCATTCATAAGTTCCAAGAGCCTATTAATGCAAGACTCTAGGACTTTGTGAAAGGGGGTTTCTTGGGGGTACTACTCTGAATCAGCAGAGGGGGGAGATCCATCCCCAGATATTGCCCTAAAGTGTCCCCTTCCTCTGGATGGGGGAGGCCAATAGTACACCTCCCTCCCACTTCGTCCCACCCCAGGAGGAAATGATTGGGTGGGAGGTGAGTTTCCTTGATAGCAGGAAACAGGGTGGTTGGTTTTCTCTTCTGCACCCAAGGGGCACCAGGTAAGGGAGACAAAGACATTTATTGACTCTATCAGAGCAGAAGAAACCAAGGGAAAGAAAGGGGGTGACTGAGGAACAGAGAGAGAGAGAAAACTGAAAGGCAGGGTAGAGAGAGACCCAGGGGAAAGGGGAGGGAGATGGACTGGGACAAATGGGGAAGACTTGATACACAGAGTAAGGAGACTGGTGGATACAGATAGGGGAGACTAAGGGACAGAATGGAGGAAAAGAGGAGGGAGAGAAAGGGAAGACTGCCAGAGGAAGGGGGCATTGAAGGAAAGATAGTGGGTCAGAGAGAGGGAAATTAAAAGACAGAGGGGCACTGAAGAACACAGGTGGGGACAATTAGGGAGGCTATGGGAAAAAAAGGAAACTGAGGAATCAAAAATGGGAGAGACTCAGAGTGGGGACATGCTGACAGAAAAAGATGGAAAGGAGTGAGGACAGAGCACCAGACTGAAGAATATGGAGAGGGAACATTAAAGGACAGAGGGAAGAGATGCTGAGGGTCAGGGGTAGGAGAAACTGAGAACCTGAAGAGAGATAGGGACAGAACAAAAGACCATTGAGGAAAAGAGAGAGCATGAGACTGGAAGACAGAGAAGGGAGACACAGAGTGATAAAGAAGGAGAGAAAGGAACAAATAGAAAGGCAGGCTGAGTGACTGAGAGGAAAGACAGATCAGAAGAAAGCGGACATTGAGGGAAAGAGGTATGGAAAGTGGAGAGGGAGACTGAAGAACAGAGAGGGAAAATGGATGGGTACAGAAAGAAGGTACGAAGAGAAGCTGGTGGGAGAGACTAAGGTACTGAAAGGAGGAAAATTAGGGATGAGGAATGGGGGATACTTAAGGATTAAGAGGGTAAACTGAGGGTCCGAGAAGAAAGACTTAAGGACAAAGGGGACGAGGTGGGAGGAGGCTGAGGGAAAGAGCCAGGTAGTCAGGATCCCAGTTCCCACTGGGAAGGATAGGGTGGACATTAGGGTATGGGAATTGTTGGGGCCAGGCACAAGGCCAGGGTTGCCAAGCAGATTTGACCTTTCTCTTGGTGGATTAGGAGGCTGCTCTCATGCTTTGGTGCCAAGGGAATACAGCCAGGCCAGAAGGGCGGGCTGAGCCCCAGGAAGCACGCATGCAAGACCCCTCACATACATATGCATGTGTGTCTTAAACGTGTGCACACCCCCAGAGCAGAAGTCACACATCTTCGGGTAACTCCAGGTTACCTTACCCATGCAAGGATGGAGGATCAGATTTGCTAGATACAATATGAGGGGGAAGGCTCAAGCCCTGGGCTGGGAGTTGGGCAACCTGGGTTTGAATCACAGCTCTTCTACTTTCTATTTATGTGACCTCTGAAAGGCAAATCTTTCATCTCTCTGGGCCTCAGTTTCCTAATCTGCAAGATAAAGGAATTGGACTAGATAATCTCTAAAGCCCTTTCCAGCTCTAGACTTTCGATCCTCAGTCCTCTCTCTAGTCTGTCCTAGCTGAGCAAGCCTAGACAAATTGCATTCCCTCCCTACATTGCAGCTTCAGTCTCCGTAAAATGGGATTTCCCTGTCTCAGGATTGTTGTTGTGAGAAAAGAGCACAGCAAACCCTAAGGCATTATAGAACCGACAGTTGTTATCCTGTGCCTCTCCAAGTGAAGTGTGCCTTGAACATAACTGTGTGTTACTGCTGTGCACGTGAATTACTGCATGTTTGAGCGTACTTGTTTGCCATTTCACTGTTGTATTCATTTGCCTGTTTTGTGTCATATTAAGCTAGTGCCTTCCCTCTGTTATTAGCTCCAATTCATCCTGCTTATAGCTTGTTTGTCCACAATTGTACCCTCTTGTCTTCCTCCCATCGGATTATGAGCTCCTTGAGGGTAGTGACTGTCTTTTGCTGTTCTTTGTATTCCTAGGGCATATAGTAGGTGCTTAATAAATGCTTATTAACTGCCTGCTAGGTGATTTTCCAGCTTCCTCAGGGGAGAACCCAACTGGTGAGGTGGCTCTTGGAATGCCTGAGTCCTGCTTTCCCCCTAGGATTCTGTCTACTTCTTTCGGTGGCTATTTTGCCTTCAGATGGAGGGACCTTCTCTTCCTTGGCAACTCCAAACTGACAGCTCCATCCTTTTCCAGCCACAGAATCTGATGATGGGTTAATTAGGGAGGGACAGCAGAGACCCATGGACTCATACTGGGAACCTTGAGATGGCATTTAGTGCCCCCCAACTCCCTCATTTTATAAAGAGAATCGAGTCCTCTACAGCCCAAAAGACTTGCCCAAAGTCTCGGGGTGTTGTGGATTGGAACTTTAGCTCTTCAAACTCCTAGCTGGCTTTCTTTCCACCCTCCCTCCCATGCTGACCCCTCCCCCATTCTTTTCACAAGTGTTCATGAGATTAACTTGAAATTGGTGGCAGTATGGGAGGGGCTGACCATTCACTCTCCTTCTATAACCCTTACACTCCTGCTTCTTTCTCTCTTTTAACACAGGAGGAATTTCAGACTCTCAAGCCAGCTTGTTGGAGGTAGAGAGGCATAATTCAGCCAAATCTCCAACCAGAATCACCCCAAGAATCTCACCGAGACACCCAACCCCCTAACCTGAAACTGCTCCCTCATCTCCCTGAAACTTTTTATTTCTACCCTGCCCCCATCCACACTGACCCCCATTTCCCAAGTTCACATCTTCTCTATTTCCCAAAGACCTCAGCCCTCTCCCCCTCCCTCACTCTTGCAACTCCCCCGATTTTCAGAGAGAGAAGACAGTGTGCCTCAATACTCACCATCTCCATTCTTACAGCCCACCCCACCAGTTCCTCCCTTACTCTCCCAAGTGCCCTAGCTACTGCCTTTCTTGTCCTCTTCTCCTTATTTTTCTAGGATTTCATAGCCCTCTCCCACTTCACTGTCCCCAGGCTCTCTGAGAAAAAGGGGAAGGAGAAGGGGGCAGGCGGAGGGATCCATCATCCCACCACTACCTATATTTATTTCTCTCACCTGTCTCATTCACTACCCCTTCTCTGCTCCCCAACCCTCCCTCATTTGCTTTCCTGCAGCCTTCTAAGCTCACTATCTCCCATTCCTTCAGCTGTCTGTGCTCTCCTTGATCATGCATCCCTGAGTCCCCTGGAGGGGATAGGGGGGGCCCCAATGGCCTCCTGCCCTCCAGCCTCTGGAGGCCCCACCGCCCACCTGGGTCAGGGGGTGCGCCCCCGCCCCTCCGTTGCCCTCCTCACCCACTATGGGCAATACCACGCTGGAGGGCTGTCACGTGGACTCGAGGGTGGACCACCTGTTCCCGCCCTCTCTCTACATCATCGTCATGGGCATCGGGCTGCCCACCAACTGCCTGGCTCTGTGGGCTGCCTACCGCCAGGTCCGCCAGCACAACGAGCTAGGCGTCTACCTGATGAACCTGAGCATCGCCGACCTGCTGTACATTGCCACGCTCCCTCTGTGGCTCGACTACTTTCTGCATCACGATAACTGGATTCACGGGCGCGGCTCCTGCAAGCTCTTCGGTTTCGTCTTCTACACCAACATCTACATCAGCATCGCCTTCCTGTGCTGCATCTCTGTGGACCGCTACCTGGCCGTGGCCCACCCCCTGCGCTTCGCCCGCCTGCGGCGCGTCAAGACGGCCGTAGCCGTGAGCTCTGTGGTGTGGGCCACGGAGCTGGGCGCCAACTCAGCTCCGCTCTTCCACGACGAGCTCTTCCGGGACCGCTACAACCACACCTTTTGCTTCGAGAAGTTCCCCATGGAGGGCTGGGTGGCCTGGATGAATCTCTACCGCATCTTCATCGGCTTCCTCTTCCCCTGGGCCCTCATGCTCTTCTCGTACTGGGGCATCCTGCGTGCGGTGCGTGGCAGCATGTCCACAGAGCGCCAGGAGAAGGCCAAGATCAAGCGGCTGGCATTGAGCCTCATCGCTATCGTGCTGGTCTGCTTTGCGCCCTACCACGTGCTCCTGCTCTCACGCAGTGCCGTCTACCTGGGCCGCCCCTGGGACTGCGGCTTTGAGGAGAAGGTCTTCGCTGCCTACCACAGCTCACTGGCCTTCACCAGCCTCAACTGCGTGGCCGACCCCATCCTCTACTGCTTCGTCAATGAGGGTGCCCGCGGCGATGTGGCCAAGGCCCTGCACAGCCTCCTGCGATTCCTGGCCAGCAACAAGCCCCAGGAGATGGCCAACGCCTCCCTGACCCTGGAGACCCCGCTGGCGTCCAAGAGGAACAGTGTGGGCCGCTGCAGCTGGGGAGGGGCCCTGGCCTCCAACTCCCACTCACGAGGGGATGATGTGCAGCTGAAAATGCTGCCGCCCTCTCAGTGACCCTCCTCTGCCAGCCTCCCCCCTGGACCCCAGCCTCTGGTGGAGTCTGCCCGGCATTATCTCACCCCCTGTCTCTTACTCGCAAATGAGATGCAAATGAATCTTGTGTGGATATCCATAAAGAGGGCATGAGCTAAGATGGAGAGGGGCATTCGTTTGGTTCTGTAGTGGGGAAGATGGGGTCACTGCCCAAACTGTGGGAAAGGCAAGGCCTGGAGAAGGATAAACAGAAAAGAGGATAGAAGGAGAAGGGGCTCTCCCCTTGGGGAGCAGGGGAGAGAGTGAAGATGCTAGGGAAAGATCAGTGAGCTGGAGATGATCCTTGAGGCAGATGCCTGCTTGGGAGATTATGGGCTGGGTGGCCTGGAAGTAAATCCCCTTTGCCTTTATTTCCCTATCTGTTGGATGGCTCTAATGTTCCACTGGAAAGGGATCTTTCCTTCCACATCTCTCCCTTGTGCCTTGCAAATCACAGGCTTCAGGAAGATGGTACCCAGCTCTCTTGTGAGAGAGAGAGAGAGAGAGAGAGAGAGAGAGAGAGAGAGAGAGAGAGAGTCAGAGAGAGAGAGAGAGAGAGAGAGAGAGAGAGAGAGAGAGAGAGAGAGAGAGAGAGAGAGAGAGAGAGCCCAAACCAGCCGGCCTGGGCTGGTATGCAGGGGGAGAGAAATGTTTGTCAAGTCAGTAGGAGACTAAGGCCTTTTCCATTTCTAAAATCTATGATCTTGTGAGCAGCTGCAGGGTCCCCCAAGGCTCTCTTTTCCTGCCCCCTGCTTCAGTTCACACGCCCCTGGAGTGGGGGGGTAGGAGGGAGGGAGGGTTGGGGAGCTTTCTCCAGCTGCCATCCAGAGTCAGCCTCCTCTCTCTCCCTCCCACCTATCCAGGCTACTAGGAGGAGTCTTCCCTTTATTTTCCTTGCCCCCCCCCCAGTCTTCCCAAATAAGGAGAAAGGGGTAAAACGGACAGATGATCTCAAAGCATGTTTAAACATTAACCCTTTTGGATGCTTCCAACATTCTCCCACCAAGAGTGGACAGGCTGGGCTGGAGATGGGGAGGTGAGTGACATCAAGGGTCAATTCTTCACTGTACCCCCAGAGAGATTCCTGGAAACCCATACTGGGAAATGCTGGGGGCATGGGGCAGGGGGAGAAGAATGGGGAAAATTCTCTAAATGAGGAAAGTGATTCAAGGAGAGGGGGAAGGGAGAGGGCGTGGAGAGTGAGACACAGGAAGTGTTTGCGACGGGACTTAGATTGGGAGCTGAGGAAGGAGCCAGAATATTATATTATCATCACTCATTTGTTTATTGTAGAGACAGCAGTGGTAGGGGTGGAGAGTGCCCTGGGCTAGGAGCCAGGAAACCAGAGTTCAAATTGTGGCTCTGTGACCTCAAGCGAGCTGTTTCCCCTTTCCGAGCCTCAAGCCCTCTCACTCTAAAATGGGGTCTAGTGGGGAGGGGGTGGTTGGACTGCACAGTGTCCAAGTGTTCTCTTAGCTTTGGTAGTCTGCGTTCTGGGGTTCCCTTCTAGTTCTGACATCCTATGTTCGAAAAGTTTTCTAGCTAACATTGTGTCCTAACGTAACTCTTAACTAGGACATTCTGTTTTGTTTGTAAAAGTTTTTATTTTTTCTTATTACATCTAAAGATAGTTCTCAACATTCATTTTTATCAGATTTTGAGTTCCAAATTTTCTCCCTCCCCAGGTGGGCAAGCAATCTGCTATGTTAAACATGTACATTCATGTTAAACATATTTCCACATTAGCTAGGACATTTTCTTTTAAAGTCCTTTACAGCAGCTAGGTGGCGCAGTGGATAGAGCTCCGGCCTTGAAGTCAGGAGAACCTGAGTTCAACTGCGGTCTCAGACACACAACACATACTAGCTGTGTGACTCTGGGCAAGTCACTTAACCCCAATTGCCTAGCAAAAAGCAAAGAAAAAAAATTACTTACATTAAAGTCCTTTCCAGCTCATATTAACTGTCTTAAGGTTCTGAGCTCTGATTTTCTATGTTCTAAAGTACTTTCCTTCTCAGTTCCTTCCATTTGTAACATTGTGTCTGAAGGTCTCTCTAGTTCTAACTTTCTATGGAACATCTTTTGAAGCCTTTTATAGCACTGACATCCTGTGTTCTAAGGTCTCTCCTAGCTCTGGTGTTCTTTGTCCATTAACAGGTTGACATTGTGTTCTAAGGTTCCTCCCAATCCTGACATCTTATGTTCTAAGGTTCCTCTCAGCTTGACATTTTATGTTCCAAAGTTATTTCCAGCTAACATTCTCTGTCCTAAGACCCCTCTCAGTTATGACATTCTATATTCTAAGGACACTCAGGGCTCTGTCATTCCACATCCTGAGGTCCCTCTGAGTTGTGTTCTAAGGTCCCTTTGAGCTTGGTCATTCTATGTTGTAAGGTCCCTCCTGGATCTTACATACTATGAATTCTAACAGGAAAGCACAGAAGGGGTGACAATGAGCATGTCTCCTGCTTTTTCCTTGGACTCAAAGATGTCTGCATGGAGTAATCCCCAAAGCACCACAGCCTGGAAAAGCTTATGACAATGTGAATCAGAACACTTGAGTTTTAGACCCACTGACCAGCTGCAAGATCTCAGGCAACCCCCCCCCCCTTCTGGGTCTTTGTATCCCCCTCAGAACGGGGTCGAGCAGTGGATGGGGAAGGTGTTTATATCTCCTGGTGTTTTTCAGGGCCCTTTTCCCCACTATCAGACTGCCCCTGGGCCTCCCACCCCCCAGGAATTTTGCCTCATCCACCCTGACCCTTGTTACTCTGAGGTGACTTCCCCACTGGGGAAGGTTGGACAGTCTGTGATATGTCCTTAAGACCCTTCCTGCTTCTTAGTGAGGTCCTCAGTCAACAAGGCTGTCTATCCATTTGCTTTCAAAAAGAACCTGTGTGTCCAGTTATTCCAGGATGTCAGGCCTGGAAGGGGACTGGAAAACATCTTGTCCAACCCCTCCCCCCTCCCATTTTGCACTTAAGGAAACTGAGGTCCAGTAAGGTAAAGTGACTTCTCTGAGGTCACAGAGGGGGTCAACATCAGGGCATGGACAAGAAGCCAGGTCCCCCAACTCTCAAATACCTTGCTGGGGAATAGAAAGGTTCAACCCAATTGTTAAAAATTTCTTCCATGCGTCCCAGCTGAAATCTGTTTTTTCTGAAACTTCTTTCCCCACTTACCCTGTCCCCATCTTCTTTGAGCCAAACAAGCCATGTTTGACTCATTTTCTACCTAACAGTCCTTCCCATACTTGAATACAGTAACTTCCTGAAGTATGTGAGACATGGAGGAAAGACTGCTGGATCGGGAGTGAGAGGACTGGTTAGAAATCCCCACTGGGCCAATTACCAGTTGTGAGATTTGGAGGAAAGTCCCTTCCCCTTTCTCCTCTGCCATTTCTTTCTTGGTATGGCCTCTAAGATTCCAATGGGAAATCCTTGGGTCCTGTGTGGTATAGTGGGAAGAATACTGTGCTTCCATTCAGGAGAGACCTGGGTTTGAAGCATAACTTTAACATTTGCTAGCTGTGTGACCCTGGGTGAGTCAGCTTACCTCTCAGAACCTCAGTTTCCTCATCTGAAATATGGGGTAATACCCATAGCACCTACATTACAGAATTGTTGTGAGGATCAGAGAACATCACATGTGCAAAACACTTTCCACATCATAAAAATGTCAACAGTTTATTTCCTGCCAGTCTCCTTTTCTCTAGGCTAAAACTCCCAAGGTCCTTCAGCTGACCTTTTGTGGCCTGGTTTCTAGTTCCTCCCTCCCCTCCTTCCCTGATCTCCCTGCTTTAGACATGACCCAGCTTGTCGTCGTCCCCTCCAAGATGAGATGGCTTTGTCTCTCATCTTTCAGCTAGCCTGGCAGCCCCCTCAGGAAAGGATTATTGAATTAATCCACGAAATCTCATTGAGGGAAGGGCTCTCAGACAGCATAGAGCCTACCTTCCTGCCCAGTGTAGGAGTCTCTCCCATGGCCTCCCTGACAGAATCATCTATCACTGGCTTGGGTACTTGCAATGACCCTGATAGCTTTACATTCCAAGGCAGTGATTTTTGTAGATTTCTAATTGTTGGGAAGAAAATGGTTTCGGTCCTCACTATGTGACCTTGGAAACTTAAGCTGCTTCCCCTACTTCAGTTTTCATAGCTGTAGAATGGCCACATGGGGAATTAGACAATCTTTAAACATCTTCTAGTCCCAGCACTCTGATACGCCCCTTTCAGAGACCACAGACTGAGGAGGGGGCTGAGGTCAACTCCAAGACAAACTGACAATAGTAACCTCTCACCCACAAAGTGGGATTTCAAGAGAAAAGGGTGAAGAGACTCTTGGGCAGTTCCCCACTGCCTCCAGTGGACAACTGTAAGAATTTCTCATAGCCCCTGTTCAAAAAGGAATGGATCTCTCACACTTCTATGAGAGACAGTTTCCTGTCCATACTCCCTGTTGGAGAGGGGAAAGAATTTCTTCGGGGCAGCTAGGTGGCAAAGTGAATAGAGCTCTGGCCTTGGAGTCAGGATGACCTGGGTTCAAATCCAGCCTGAGACACTTAACACTAAACTAGCTGTGTGACCCTGGGCAAGTCACTTAACACTGATCACCTCACCAAAAAGCAAAAAAAAAAAGTTTCTTAAAGTTCTTGGTGGAAAAAGAAAGTGTTCTCCATGAAAGTCTGTTCCTACACCCCTTAATGGTGTAGGGAAAGGATCTCCCACAGTTCACCGATGGGAGAAAGGAAACCTTTCTCACAGCCCCGGTCAAGTTTTGCTTGGCTGTCTCCTTCAGAAAGGACTCTCCTATGGATATGGGAAGGAGTTATTCACAGTACCCAGGCAGGCACTGGGTGGTCTAAAGAGGTTGCCCATAACCTCTAAATGGAAAAGGGAAGGATCTTCCAAAACTCTCTGGAGATGGAGAGAAGCTTCCCAAGATCCCACATAAGTGAGGAAAAGATCTCTCACAGGTGCTCCATGGGAGAAAAGGAGGAATTTCCCACAACCTCTGGAGGAGAGGGGCAGGGAAGGAAGGTAAGGAAAAGAGTGGGGAAGGGGAAAGAATACGGGGGGGGCGCGAAAGGATAACGGGAGGGGCAGGGAGAGGGTTTGGAAGAGACTGGAGAAAAGAGAAGGAGGGGAGGAAAAGAATAAGGACGGGGGCAGAGGCAAAGCCGGGGTGGAGGGAAGGGGAAGGACTGGGGGGAGAAGGGAAGGGATAATGGGGTGTGGGGAGGAGGGGAAAGGACAAGGAGGAATAGGAAGGACAAAGGGTGGAGGAAGGTAAAGGATAAAGGAAGGAGGTAAAGACGTGAGGGAGGGGGAAAGGACAAAGAAAGGAGGGAAGGGGAAATGGGGGAGGAGAAAGGGGGGAGGAGGAGAAAGGAGGTGGGGAAGGGGAAAAAAAGGGGAGGGGCGAGTTTCTCCCCAGGCCTATGGAGGAGGGTGAGGGGCGATGTACCCCTTCCACGCTGCTGGGGTCAGTGGAAAATCAGGCCTCTGAAAACCAAACTCGCTGATTAATCACCTCATATGCGTGACGTCACAGTCAAGATTTGTGACGTCATACAGGCCAGCCAGCATTCTCCCACCTCCACCTCTATGAGAATATGGCTCATATACATATTGAAGAGGGCAAAGGCACGCAACGTCAGGCGGGGCGTCCTGACGCCACCGCGCCCCTCACAGCGAGGGAGCCGCGTGCGCACAGGCTCCCACCCCACCCCGCCTACGGCCAACCGGCTACGTGCGCATGCGCTGAGGGCTCACGCCCGGCTGTCTCCCGGCCTGACCGTGACGCACGTGCGGCCGCCAAGATGGTGGTGGGCGCGTTCCCCATGGCGAAGCTGCTGTACCTGGGCGTGCGGCAGCTGAGCAAGCCGCTAGCCCAAAGGATTAAGGAGGGGGCGCGCCGGAGCCAATTCTTTCGGACCTACATCTGCCTGCCACCCGCCCAGCGTAAGCCGGACCCCAGAATCTCCCCCGTTCCTCACGATGGTCTTTTCCGGACCTCGAAGCCCGCCCCCTGCCCTCCTCCTCCTTCCGACCTGAGTGGCCAATCGCGAAGCGGCGCGCTACCCGCTCTGGCCAATCAGGAGAGGCTGTCGCGCGCCGGAGAGGCGGGTCTGTTGCCATTGTCCCCCCTCCTCTCCGGACCGCCAGCTAGCCCAATCGGGGCGCCGCGTGCTCTCTGCGCCGGCCAATGGCTGGAGGCCTGCGTGCCCCGGCTCGCCCTTTCTTCCTGTCTCCCACGCCCTCGTGGTGAGTGACGGTGGGCCAATGAGGGAGTCGCAGTGCTGGGATGGACAGCGACGCTAACCAATGGAGAGGATAGAAGGGCGGGCAAGTTTGACTTTGAGCCGGAGGAATGACAGAGGCGGGGCGGGACTTGGGGGTTAGTGGGCCCTCGGGGTGGGGAGGGGAGGACTTCCCTGGGCTCAGTGTTCGCATCCCTCGAGATCCCCGACCATCCCGTTTGTCAGTTTCCCCACTCCTACTTGGTGTCCTTTAAGCTCTTTGAGGGGCAGGGGGCGTGAGGCTGGGTTCCAGAGCTACTTGTGCTCCGTAGGGGCTGTGTGGCCCTGGCGAAGTCACTGACCCTCTCTGATCCCCACTCTCCTCATTCCTAAAACGGGCCTGGGATAGCCTGTAGCCATAAGCAGTCTAGGGACAGAGCCCAGCGTGAGCCAGCCTTGTCATCCCAGGGGCCCGGGGGACAGGCGTAGCCAGCTCTCGTGTGGATGTTTAAAGTTTGCAGTTTTACCCTGTGATCTCATTCACGCCTCCCAGCAGCCCTGGGAGGGAGGGGATATTGTCACCTCCATTTTGCAGATGAGAAAACTGAGGCTGGGCGGATTCATTCAGGGTCACCCAGCTAGTGAGCATCTGATGCCAGATTTGAACTCAGGTCCCACCTCCAAGAGAGTAGCCCGGCCCAGGCTTCATTTTGGGACCCAGGAAAAGTCCAGATGAGGCTCCCACTTGGTATTGTCTTTGTGTTTGGAAAACCCCGCAGTCTGAGGGTCAGTCTGTGCAGTGTGGATTCGGGTTTCTGAGATCTCCTGCTCTCGCACTGTGTCCTAAGGTTTCTTTCGGTTTTGACCGTCTTCTTGAGGTCTGTCTGTCCATAAGCCTTTCTAACTGACTGACTGACTTTGCCCAAGCTCCCCCAAGCCTCCTAGAGCCTGACTCCGTGTTCCAGGGGTTAGCCACTCCACCTGGCTTGGGGTCATCCTCACCTTGGAGACGGATTTCTGTCTGTGTGTCCTCTCCCCGAAGCACTGATGACAGACGTTCCTCTGTAGAGCCCAGCACAGATCCCTGGGGCACACTGCTGCGGAACCTTCAAGTGGTCATGAAACCACTAATGACCAGCCCCACCACAAGGAGCCTTGTAGCCTCTACTGCAGGTGGCAGTTTTTGGAAAACCAGAACGTTTGCCTGTCTCTACTCCTGAATCTGTGGCACTTCCCATCTGCCACTGCCTTTCACAGACTCAGGCATCCCATCTTTCACTTTCTGTTCTGGGATTTTCCTGGGAAATAGTCTGTCAGCACCTCCGTGGCCAAGGACAGCCCTGTGTCCTCTGACTGGCCACTTATTTACCTAGAGTACCCTCTCCACATTGACCATTTTGTCCTGACCCTTCCAGTCCAAAGATCAGTGTCTCTGGCAGGACAAACAGAAGCACACTCAGGGCTGATCAGCTCTTCTCTTTGGGCTCACCAGCATTCTGGCTGCCCCCGGGCGATGGTCTTTCCCCCAGTGTAGATTTTTAAAACCTTCTTGCTGTCTCCAGCTCTTCTCCTAAGCTTCCTATTATTCTGATGTTCCTGGACTGTCTCTATGGTATTCTGCCGTGGTGTTCTAGTCATCCTGTTGACTGACTTTGCCTGCATTTCTGACGGGTCTTTTTAACACATTCACATACGGCTCTTTAGACTCCCCCTTCTTCTCCACTTTGGGATTGTTTCATGGACTCGCAGAGCCCAAAGAAGCTGGAAGAGGTCTCCAGGCATCTCCAGTTCCACCCAGATCGGGATGATTTTCTTCCCCTTCTACATACAGTGTGGCTTGTAGATGCCCCATGATGGGGAATCTACCTGTGGTGGCTCCAGCTGTTAGGTCTGATGTAACAAGAAGCTTCCTGAGATGCCCTCCTGGCAGGCCATGCCCACTGTGCCAGGGGAATCCCCTTCCTGGTGACACCTCTTCAAAGGCTTTCTTGTTCCTCCGTGAATTTTCTCTTTTAAGCTAACCATTCTCCACTTCCTTCAGCTAGACCGCATAGGGGATGATCTGAGGGCTTTTTATTGTCTTTCTCCAAGGGTTCTGCTCCAGAATGGGGCAATGTAGTCCAGCAGGGCCTGCTACCTCCTGGACCCTCTGAATGCCAGCTAAGATTATATATCAGCGTGGTGGGAAGCCACGTCACACCATTCACTCCTGGGGATTGACTGTCTCCAAAACGTAGTTTGGGTAGTCTTCTCCAATGGGATTTTGTAGTTGAGGAGGAGGGCAAATCCTTTCAGAGCTGTTTTCCTGACCTCTAGAAATCTGTGTCTGGTGATCCCCAACTTGCCTCAATGGGGGGGACCCTGCTACCCTCACGTTCAAAGTTAGAACAATCACTTGTCTCCCAAGATTCCTGTTCTTTCACCAAAGCAACCATTTCCTCTTTGCTGGTGACAGTTGGGTTCCGATCAGCCTGTCTGTCCCTAATTCCTCCAACTTGGGAAGGCTGAAATGAACATTTTGTTATTGTTCAGCTGTTTCAGTCATATCTGAGTCTTTGTGACCCCATTTGAAGTTTTCTTGGCAAAGATGCTGGAGTGGTTTGCCATTTCCTTTTGCAGATGAGGAAACTGAGGTAAACAGGGTCAAGTGACTTGCCTGGGATCACACAGCTAGTAAGTGTCTGAGGCTGTATTTGAACTCACATCTTTCTAACTCCATGCCTGGTGCTCTATCCACTTCGCCACCTAGCCCCCCCCCCCTTCTTTCCCAAACTCTTTATCTCTTTCCTCTTTCTGCCTGGGAGGATTATGATATATTTCTGCCTGGGTTTATCTTCAACCAGATGTTTCCTACCACATTTCACTCTCTAGTACTTCAGTGTTCTTGTGTGAATATGGCTTCTTAACATCCCTGCCAGCAGCCTCACTCCTTCCATTTCCCAGCAAGCCTCGGTGCTCCCTATCTCAACTCTCTGTGCTTTTAGACTCCCAGCACTTGCTGCTTGTGCTGTGTGTCCCGCATCTAGACCCATGAGGCCGAGTTCTGTTGCTGTCTCTGTTCTTGCCTCTCTGTGCCCTGGGAGTTCTTGGGCATCTCTTTGGACCATTCCTCTTCCTCCATTTTCTTCACTCTCTACGGCAGGGGTTCTTGACCTCTCTTATGGGCCCCTTTGGAAGTCAGGCTGCTGAGCTTATGGACCCTTTCAAAGAATAAAGGTCTTAAATGCATAAAATAGAGTACACAGGATTACAAAGGGACCCAGTGCCATTGAAAGACATTTCTCCCAGTTTCACCAGCTCACCAGCCAATCCCCTGAAGTTGTTCCCAGTTCTCCTTGACAGTTAGTGGACCCCAGGCTGAGAACCCCTGCTCTTTAGCTTTAGCATGCAGGCTCTCCAGAAGCCATCCTCCAGTCCCACCCCCTTCCTCTTTAGAGCTATCTGTCTGGTCCAGTTTACCATGGAGGAAATTGAGGTTTCTTCAGAGGGGAAGTGACTTGGCTAAGGTTACCCAGCAGACAGAGTCTTAGAACTGGGACCTTAGAGGCTATTTCGGTTTTGCAGATGGGGGAACTAGAGGAGGAAAAGAATTTGCCCATTTTCTTGGAGGTGGTCAGTGCCCTCTCTGGCCCTGGCCCTCAGCTCTGGCCTCACCCCAGCCCTCCCTCATCTCTGCAGTGTACCACTGGGTGGAAATGCGGACAAAGATGCGGATCCTGGGCTTCCGAGGAGTCACAATTAAACCCCTAAATGAGGAGGCAGCAGCAGAACTGGGGGCCGAGCTGCTCGGCGAGGCCACCATCTTCCTGGTGGGTGGCACCTGCCTGGTCCTGGAGTACCTCCGCCATTCCAGCCAAACCCGACGCAAGGAGGAAGAGCAGCGTGAGGTCTTGGAATCGTTTCAGCAAGAGCTGAACATCCTGACCTTGAATGTGGAAATCCTACAGACTCAGCAGCGAGAGGTCTCCCGGCACCTGGGGACCATTGATGAGCTGCAGACCCAGGTCAAAGCACTCAAGGAACTACTCGAAAAAAAGGAGAAATAATGCCCAGGCCTGCTTCCCGGGGATGCTGCCATCGTCTCCCCTCTGCACAGTGACCCCTGCTGGCAGCATGTTCTTTTGGGCCCCCTTGAATGGGATGGTTGGCCAGCAGCCATGGTACCTCCCTTTGGAGCAAAGCACTTCTTGGGCATTCGATGGTCCTGTGTGACATTTCCCATTCCCTCCCCCATCTCCACCCCCTTAGTCTGTGTGTTTCTTCTTATGGGGTTGGCTGTACTCTCCACTTCATGTTCTGCTGGCGTCCCCCTGGGCATAAAGAATTGGCCAGTGGGCTACTGTCCTGTAGTCATCTCCACCTTCCACCCCCTCAGCCTTCCTCACATTGGAATCTTCTTCCCCAGCTCCCCAAACCCATTCCCTTATATCAGGCATCTGCTCACCTTCTTCCCTTTCCCTAGTGCATTATATTAAGAATCCTCCACTCCACCAACATGGGATATTCCCATTGAACCTGCCCCCTCCATATCCTCGTCCCTTGGACCCATCCATGTGATGGTCCAGCTTGGCATTTCTACTCCTCTACCCCCTTTTTTGGTCCATGGAGAACTCCTGTCTTTTGGGGGTATCTCACTGGAGATCTCTTATCCCAGACTGTTCCCACCAGCCCTAGACTAGCCTTCCTTGGGTTATCTTGATTCTTGATTCTTGAAATGGGATGGTCTCATGTGTCCTTTTTTCTTGGGTTTAGTCTGTGAATCCATACCCTCCCCACTACAGGTAGTGACCCTTCCCTCTTCAGCCTCCTGTTCACCCCTCCCTAGGATTCCACCTTCCATCCCACTGCTGACACCGGGTGTGGAATGTTTCCAAATTTCCAAAATCTTCACTCCCCTGGGTTGATGTCAGCAGTAACCCATGCCCATCCTAAATCCCACATGAAAGGTTCTGACAGATCTGCCTTTCTGCACCCCTTCCCCCCTCCCAGGTAGAAGGAGCCCTCATTTTCCCAGTGGAATGTCATACAGGGCTTCTCTTCACCACCTTCCCACAGGGCGGGGGACACCCCTTCATTGTTTTCTGGCACTGGCAGTGTGGAGGGGAGAGATATCTCCTCACTGGTGGCTGCTTCCATCTTCCCCCGGGAAGAAGCTGCTAATGGTATTGGAGGAAGAGTGGCAGAGGGCAGGGCTCTCCCAGGTCTGATTATATTTTTTATGACTATGAATACTTCACAATTAAAGGAGGGGAGGGCCTTGGCCTCACAAATAACTCAATACACCTGTGGTCTGTTTCGTCTGGGGAACGTGGGTGTGGCCTCTCTTCTGAGGTTTGAGGTTTGAATGTTTACTGTTATGCAGACTGAATGGGACCTTTCAGGTGATGGATGCCATGCAAGACCCCTCCTTCAACCAGAAGGGTAAATTTAGGCACTGAGCAAGGAAGGGACTTAACTGTGGCCTCAGAGGCTGGAGAAGAGGGGGCTGAGACTTGGATGTGGAAGGGAATGAATGCTTGACAGGGAAGTTGGGCCTGGTTTCAGAGATGTGACTACTCTTCCCATGCCTTACCCCAGCAGTGGGACGATGGTCTAGACCTCAGGGAGCCCACAGTCTGCGGGAGGTGGTGGAGGGAGTGGAGGGGAAGGGCCTATGCTATGTCAGCATCCTATATCAGGGCTGATAGAGTAAGCAGGTGAGGGCCCAGGCTAGGCCAGCATCCTAGACCAGGGCTGGTGGGGGGCAGGGGTGGAGGGGAAGGGCCTAGGCTAGGCCAGCATCCTAGACCAGGGCTGGTGGAGTAAACAGGTGAGGGCCCAGGCCAGGCCAGCATCCTAGACCAGGGCTGGGGAGGGGAAAGCAGGTGAGGGCCCAGGCAGGACATTTGCCAAAGACCAAGAGCTTGCTAAACACTGGATAGCCCAAAGAGTGTTGTGTAAAAATGGGTAGATTTATTCCAAGTGAGTCCACTTTAACACGAGGAAGGGGATGAGAGAACATTCCCCCTAGCCCCCAGGAGGGCGTTCCACTTCCGTTCACTCTCCCACCCAGGGGAATGGCTCCAAAACCCAGGCCTACCCAAATTAAAAAAAAAAATTTCAAAAAAAGTTACAGTGTTTTATAGAATCATAGAATCTTAATTCCTTATAGAAAAGGGGTAGGGGAATATTTTGAGGGGGAGGGAAGAAGGGAGTTCCCTGCAGTGGGGAGAGGTCCTGGTTCCCTATACCCCCTGGAAGAACCACACCCCCAGAGGGGGACAGCTAGGATTACAGCATTTAAGACTGCCAAGACCCCACCCTTATCAAAAACAAATAAAATCCCCCCCTTTCCTTCCCAAACAAATATATATATATTTTTTTCTTAAAAAAATTGAAGGCTTCTAAGGATTAAAGTGAGCATTGGGCCCTCAGAGAGGCTCCAGGAAGGGGAGCCGCGATCTCCCCTTTCCCTTTTCCTTCTTCGAGCTGAGTGATGTGTTCCAAGCAGAGGAAGGAGCCCCAAGGGGGGGGGAAAGGAGGAATGGGCCAAGAACAGATGGGGGAGGTGGAGCCCCCTGCCTCAAATCTGTATGCCAGCAGGGAATGGCAGGGCTGGGCCTCCACCTCCTTGGGGTCTCCCAAGGGGGCTGAAGGTATGGAGGAGGCTTCTCCAGCTCCTCCCGAAGCTCAAGGCAGGAGGGAGTGGGAGAGGGCTCGCTTCCCAGGTGCCTCTGGTCACGGAGAGCCCCGCTTCCGGAGCTCCTGGACAAAAGCTGGAGGAGAGACGGAGAAAAGAGTTTATGAGAGGGGAATCCTGAGGCCACCTCGAATGGATGATGGACAGAGCCCAGCCACAGAGCATCTTAGGCTGGAGAGAGGTGGCTTGGCCCGTCATAGCCCTCAGTTTTACTGGGGCTGGACCTCTGACTCCAGTGCTGAGTCCTGGGGACCCCAACCTCTCCCCTCAGCATCCCCACTCACCTTCTATTATCTCCTCTTTCACTTTCCGAAGTTCCTTCCGTACCTCTTCCAGCAATTCCTGTGAGGCAGGAAAAGGGGGCGTCAGAACGTTCCCCAAGCCACTCACCCCAACCGTCATTGGCTGAACTTTCTCCTGGGGGAGGAGTTTGCCATACCCTCCAAAGCCCCCACCCTAGAGGCTGTCCCCAAAATGGGCAGAGTTGGAGTGAGCACTAGATTCAGGAGGCTCCCTCCCTCCCTCATTCATTCACTCCTATAGAGTTAACAGAGACGGTCAGACGCAGGCATCGCGGAGCACACCTCTCCTGGGCCCTTCCCCCCTACCTGTTTTATCCTGTCTAAGTCAGACTCCTCATGGGTACTGGGAGTCGAGGTAGGGGCCTCACAGCTCAATGCTGATGTGGAAGACTTCGTCCTGGAAGAGTTCAAAGGTACAGAAAAGGGGTTTGGGAGGATGGGATGACCCACATTATCCCCTTCCGAAAGAGCATTACTTCAACCAAATTAGCATGATCCATTAAAACTGTCTTGTTTTGTGGCGGAGAATGAAGTATTATTCATAGAAATAGAGTCCATACATCAGAGCAGGAAGGGGCCTGGCAATCCAGCTGCTATTTCCACAAAGAGCATTTTTAGACTTCATTTCACTTGTACTTCTCACAGTAACCCTGGGGTATCTGCAGGGAGACTGAGACTCTGATTCAGGGGGAAGACCGCTAACCCCTCTGGTCAGACGATGTCGATTTCCACTGTTGCTCAGCTCCTATCTGTATCACCTAGAGCAGGTCACTTAACTTCCCTCAGACTCAGTGTCCTCACTTGTAAGATAAGGGGGTCGGACTTCCTGGCCAATATGAGAGGCAGAATTTGAATCCAGATCTCTCCTGACATGGGGTCCACCCACTGGCCCTTACAGAAACCAGAGAAACCTCTCTGCTCTCCCCTGTACCTCATTGTGAGCCAAGTGCAGAGAGTGACTGGCAACCGTGTGTGGTGTCCAACAGTGAGTCGGTCAGTCCAGCGTAGAGACTGAACCTGGTGTCTTGGGCCTCCCATCATGGGACTGCCTAGCGGTCATGCCCCACTTATCTGGGGTGAAGTTAGGGTGGGAGTCATGACTGACTTGGTAAGGCTCTTAGGAATCCTCTACTCCATGCCTCCATTTTACAGATAAGAAAACTGAGACCGAGAAAGGGCCAGGGATTAAGTCACTCCTTCTAGGAGGGACCCTAGAACTTAGATGGGCAGAACCTTAGAGATGATCACATCCAATTCCCTCATGTCCCTGAAACCTGAGTGGGGCAAGGGTTATTCCAAGGTCATCCAGGCGCCATGGGCAAAGACAGGCTTCAAAGTGAGTCCCTACGAGTGCCAGCCCAGGGTACCCCTTCCCTGCCCCCCAGGTGGTTTGCACTCACCTAGGTAGAGTTGTGCTATTCTTCTCCCATGGTCTCCGAACAGGCTCTGGAGGGTGAGGGGAAATGAAGGGGGACACAAGGGTTGGGGGCTGGGAGGTGCCTTAGAAGAAGGGAGGGCCTTCCCCGCTCCCCCAAAGGCAGCCAACTCAGAACAGCCTGAGGATTCCTCCCCCCAGGCGAACTCACCATTCTGTGTGGGAATTCTTGTTTCAGCTTCTTCCTGCTGGGGAAGGGGGAAAGGGGACTCAGTTCTTTCTCACTGGTGCCAACGCACCCCACCTCCCGAAGGTGCTGGGGAAGGGAGAAAGATGCCACCTGCCTTCCTCTCTCCCTTGTGGCAGCTAGGGGACAGTTGGAAGTCGAGCCTTGGGGAGACTTGGGGAGATAGGGAAGAAGAAGGCCCCTGCTCCCCACTCACATTGGCAGGTTCATCCTTGGCTGGGGGTTTCTCCCCAATCAACGTCGCTTTCCTCCTGTGGCCAGAAGTGGGTTGGGGGGGTGAGTGTGGGGCCCCCTCCTGAGGCATCCTAGCCCACCCCCCACCTGCATGCAGGTATGATTTCCTGGCACTTTCCCCATCCAGATTCCCCCTCTCCTTCCTCTTCTCCATTGCACTTCTGACCTCTGACTTGTTCCTCTCACTGTGTGGTCCTGAGTAATTTTCTTCCCTTTTCTGGGTCTCAGTCCCCCCCACTAGACAAAAAAGGGACTGGAACCAGTGGTCTCTAAGGCTCCTTGGAAGGGCTGATCTCTTCTGGTTTGGCCCCTTCCAGCTTTATGTTCTGGCAGCTGAGGTTTGCTTACATGCAGAGCTAGGAACCAGGCGTCACGTTTGCCCATTCTTTGCCCCCTTACCACCCACAATAACCCATCACCTAGTACATTCCAGAAATATTAGACAGCAACAGTAGCCTCACGTTCTGCCACCATGGTCCTGTGACCCCATGGCTGAGGGCTCGGGGTGGGTAAATGGGGCCTCGGCCCTGGGCTCACCTCCGGGCCAGCATGGCGCTCATTTCTTCCATCAGCCCTCCCCCGGTGCCCCGAGTGCTCTCAGCTTTAGGGGCGGGAGGGGGCCCGGAGGACTCATCCTGCAAGGGGGGAAAGGTCAGAGGGCACGTTGGGAGAGCCCTCAGCTTCTCTTTGCTCCTCACACTCCCCCCACTCCCCAAGACTGTGCAGTGGAGAGCAGACAGAACCAGGGCTGCTCTTGCCAGAGTGACACACGATGGCATGTGACTGTGTGACAGGGATTCTCACAGCCCACTGTGACAGCCCAGGTTTCACAGGGACATGGTGTCTGCTACCCCAGAGGCACCCACACAAGCTCACCTTGCCGACCTTCCTGAGCTTGGCTCCTGCGAGGGCCGCAGCCAGGCCTGGGGCACCCCCGCCTCCCCCACTGGGGCCTTGGGCAGACGGCAGTGGGGGTGCTGGGGGTGGGCCTCCCGCCCCGCCTAGGGCTGGAGGCCCTGCTCCTGAGGGGGGCAGCCCAGGGGGTGGGGGTGGGCCAGGGGGAGGAGGGGGTCCTGGAGGGGGTGGGGGCCCCCCAGCTGGCGCAGCAGCTGGGGCTCCTGAAACACAGAAAGAAAAGGGTGTTCGGGGGGTGAGAGAGGGAGCAGAGACTCAGGAGGCAGAAGGGGAACCTCTGAAACTGAGAACTTGGGACCCAGAATGTCAGAGTAGCTGGCACCAGCTCAACGTCATTTCACAGAAGGGGAAGTTGAGACCCAGGCAGGCAAAGGGACAGAACTGGGAAGGCAGTGAGAAAAAAGCAGTCAAGGCAGAGCTTGAAGGAGACTGGGGAGATGACGCAGCAGGGGCTCAGAGGACAGAGGCACCAGCCAGTGGTGGGCAGTCTGAGCTGGGGTCTCAGTATCCCTCCCCAGGGGCCCTTAC